AATTCAATTCAAATAATGAAAAAGGATTCAATGAGATGTTTTTAATCAATTTGTCTCTCTGCTTTTGTCGCTGCATCTTGTTTATCCCCAGTCTCTTGTCGTGAATAGCGCAGCACGCAGAACATGCACAGTGGGGGAGATAGTCAATCTGGTCTCTGCCGATACCCAGAAGCTGATGGATTTTGTGGTGTATTTCAATGCAGTGTGGCTGGCACCCATTGAGGTCACACTCTGTCTCTTCTTTCTTTGGCAGGTGAGGGCACACATAATTATTTGTGTATTTTATATTCCTCTCCAGTAAACTATTTCCATTCTAGTAATATAAGTAAAGTCTGAATGGCATTCTTAACATTTTGGTTGAATAGTTGTTTTCTAAGAGAAATAAACAAGACATGTCTTATTTCAGCTTTTGGGACCGTCTGCTCTAGCGGGCATCGCCACCGTGATCTTCATCTTCCCTTTGAATGGATTCATTGCCAGGAAGAGAAGCAAACTCCAGGTACTGTAATGTTGTAACTCAGAATTCATGTGTTGTCATTCACATGCCCAGACTCCTTAAAAAATCGAAATGTGTTTGATATTTACACATTTAAGAGGTTACTGTACAATAAAAACATACTGCAAGTTTCATACCTCAAAGCTAACTAACCAGTTTAAAGTATGAATTTTTGTTTAACATGCCCCTTAACATGAGTATGTAACAACTCATTTTTGTCCATCAATCACAAGAACGATACTGCTGTGTGGGTAAAGCCTATGATTTTAAGCCCGATATGCAAATTGTTGAGCTCAGCTCGCCGACAGGTCGAATCGCGGGGGATTAGCGGGCGATGAACGCTCGCCAATCTGTTAGTATGAAAGAGCCAACAACGCATCAAAGACACTCGCAGACGCCTCGCAGACGCCTCGCTGAGCCCAGAAAATGATCTCGCATGCTAGATATCCAGAGCTGTCGCACGACTCAATCTTAGTGATGTCATGATGAGCTACAGCCAATCAGAGTAAGGCATGGGTTGAGGTCACCGGGTAAATCTTATTTGTTCTTTTTTTGCTTTTTTTCTCAGAGCAAATCATTGCTCAAACAGTTTTTGTGCACTAGTTTCTGTCTGACGTCCATATTCGCGTGTTATGTTCTTTTCTTCTTCGCTTGGTATTGACGCACGTGCTGTTTTGCTTCATTTCCGCGTAATTTTTCATGACAAAACATGGTTTGTAGACAAGATAGAATCGTTGGGTGACAGAGTTGTCAGCTCGTGTAGTGCGTTACCTCCTGTTGTGGATCAATCACGTTGTGTCGTGTGGTGTGAACAGCTCAACAACTTCAACACTCCTGATTTCACAGAGAGCAAGCCATGTAGTGTGAACTGCACAGTTCAGCCCGACGTTTTAAAATCATGTTGTGTGAACTAGGCTTAAGATGTCGAGGAAGACCATCTTACGTAATCTCCAGAAACATAATTTAAAGATCTGAAAATGCATTTTGTGACCCCAAAACCCTTAAAGTTCAAAGAGGAATAGCTCTGAATGGGTTTCTCATTAAAGGAGATCAAAATGAGTTCAGATCCTCATTTATCTCACCCAATAGGATGCTTTCTGAGACAGACTGCTGAGGAGTGCTATGAATGAATGAGTGAGTGTTAAAGTAAGTCAGTGTGAAGCATCCACAGCTGGTTTAGATAGTGAAGTGAGCGCAGCTTGAGTATGCGGGTTGGATTCAAGCTTTTCTTGCTCCTTTGAAGTTCCCCATGCTTCCTCCAAAGCAAAGCAACCACAATGCTTGCAAATGGCAATAAAAGTTTCAATTTTTATTTTTCAGAAAACAGACATTTGGCATGCCACTGACTGAGTCAATCTCTTGGCTCATAGCTATTGTGTTCTAGAATATCTTAACATGTAGTTGGAAATGTATTGCCTTCTTCAATGTTAATCATTCTGACGCAAAACGATTCTGCTCAAAAGACCAGCTCAAAGGGTTAATTCACCCAAAAATTAAGTCATTAATTACTCACCCTCATGCTGCACCAACCCCGTAAGACCTTCGTTCGTCTTTGGAACACAAATGAAGATATTTTGGATTAAATTTGAGAGGTGGATCACTGCTACATACGTAGGCTGCCTAAGGGATCGAAACTTGATGGTCAAGAAAGTCGTTGAAGAAAATGTTTAAATATTCCATGTGACAACAGTGGCTCAAGTATAAGTTTATCAAGCAACGAGAATACTTTTTGTGCAAAAAAACAAACAAAAATAACGACTTTATTTGACTATTTCTATTTTCTTTCTTCTGGGCCTGAGACGAGAGTTCAAGAGATTTTCACGACACATACGCGAGAACTGAACAAGACGTAGTGGAATAAGATCGCAATTCTCGCGCATGCGTCGTGGAAATCTCTTGAAGTCTCGTCTTAGGCCTACAAGGAAGAAATGGAATAGTCGAATAAAGTCATTATTTTTGTTTGTTTTTTCGCACAAAAAGTATTCTCGTCGCTTGATAAACGTATACTCGAGCCACTGTTGCCACATGGGGTGGCAACAGTGCATGGGGGTGAGTGATTTTCATTTTTGGGTGAACTATCCCTTTAAACCAGCACAAATTGGTTTGATGTTGGTCCAATTGGTGGACCATCCTGTTCATCAGCTAAACACTCCTTTTTATGTGTGTCTTTCTGGTTCATTCAAGAATGCTTGTAGGAACAAGGCTGGTAACCATGCAGCTTTTTGTAAGCAGGGCAGCCAGACATCAAGTAAAGAAAAAGCCCAAACCCTCTCCGTTATTTAGTGGTGTCATGCCACAACTTGTGGTGTTTTGATGACAAATGGCTGTTTTCTGTTCATCCCGCAGGAGATACAAATGAAGTACATGGATGGACGGGTCAAGTTAATGAACGAGATTCTGAATGGTATCAAGATCTTGAAGTTCTACGCGTGGGAAAAAGCATTTCTTGAGCAGGTCCTGGGATACAGAGAGAAGGAGCTTAAAACTCTGAAGAAATCACAGATCTTATACTCTGTGTCTATTGCCTCATTTAACTGCTCGTCCTTTCTGGTAAGAAAAGATGGATTCTTAACAAATGTTTTAGGGCTGTAACCATGTGTTGTTGTACTCAATTCCGGACTTAAAGGGATACTCCACCCAAAAATGAAAATTCTGTCATCATTTCGAAGAACGATTGGAACTTTGGCACCATTGACTTCCATAGTAATTTTTTTTTTCTATTATGGGAGTAAATGGTGTCAAACAACTGTTTGGTTCCAATCGTTCTTTAAAATATCTTCTAGCAGAAGAAAGAAACTCATGCAGGTTTGGAACAACTTGAGCATGAGTAAATGATGACATCATTTTTATTTTTGAGTGGAGTCCAAATACAAGACCATATTTTCTATGAAAAGTCCAGACACAATATTTATGAATCTGAATAAAGGCCAAGTCCAAATGATCTGAAAAAATATGCTCTTGGACTGGAGGGAAGGGCCTAAATCTAAACTGGCATTATGGTAATGACTAATTACCTAAACGACAAGATGTGATATTACAGTTTTGACTGTGATTGATATTTCCATTCTTTGCCAGATTGCTTTTGCCATGTTTGGTGTCTATGTGCTCATTGATGATAAGAATGTTCTGGATGCTCAAAAAATCTTTGTGTCAATGGCTCTCATCAACATCCTGAAAACACCCCTTAGCCAGCTTCCTTTTGCCATGAGCACAACCATGCAGGTGAGAATTATATGAACTCCAACACCATCATATTCTGTTATGTGTTGTTACTTCTTTATTTCAGGATTCTACTGATCTTGAATCAAATGTACAACTTATTCTTGTGTTGCAGGCTCTCGTCTCTCTAAAGCGTCTGGGGAAATTTCTCTGTCAAGACGAAATCAAACCGGAAAATGTAACAAGAGAATCCTTTAAATCAGGTGAGAGACCACTTGTTGACAAACATTATTGTGCAATAGATTTGTTATGCTAAAAACAGACCGAATGTTCCTGTGAGACTTTCCCTTCTTCACTTCCGCCTGTCAGTAAAAATATGAGCAAGAGTGAGATTAACAACAGTTTGATAATAGCCTCTAAATTTCACAGTTAGGTGATACTGATGTCTCACTTCCTCTCCCTGGCACAAACAATTAAAGATCTCTAAAAACTCACTGGATTACCTACATTTGAATGCAGTGTAGCCTACTACATAACATTTTATTTTATTTTATTAAAAAATACATTCTGCTTATTTTATTTTTATTTAAACCAATCAATCTAAACCGCTTTTTCTATGTTCAATGTCTTGGGAAATATGCTTATTTTGTTTTATATTAGATTACCATAGACCTTGCACAAAACATCAGTACATTAAAAATATGAACACTGCAACAATATAATAATATTAACTTTATTATTGATTCATTATTAACTCAATCCAAATCACATTTATATGGACTTGTTAGTAACTTTTCTATTTCCGTTTTTTTTTTATTATTTTTTTTTTTACATTTCAACATGTCTTCCTGTATTTAAAGTTATCTTTTATACATCCGTATACGTTAGTTTATCCAAACTTGATGGGGATGGACAGCATTCATCAAATGTGTTCAAGATAGCCTTTGAAAGTTGTTATTATGAAGATGAAGCTAATTAGACAAGCAAGTCTATAATTTCACAAGCTGCAGAAGAAATCTAGTTTCCCAGAAGCAATCTCTGTAATTTTATCTGCACTTTCCTCCAGAACAATTTGTGTTTGTGACATAGATGTGTGCAGATAGTCTGCCTGCATAGATTGCATGTTAGGGTAGGTGATTAAGGCATGATATTACATAATTTACTTCTGCTCTTTCATTGTCGCCCTATACTTGTCAGATGTGGATGGCGTAGTGTTTGACAATGGAACCTTCAGCTGGTCTAAGGATGGCCCCCCATGTCTAAAAAGGTATCATTATCCTGAAAGTTTCCACAAGGCACCTGAATTCACAATCTGGCAATAAGTGTCCAAGTTTCAGCGACTTACCCCTCACGTGTATGTGTGTGTGTGTATGGGCAGGATCAGCGTTAAAGTTCCCTGTGGCTCGCTGGTTGCTGTTGTCGGCCATGTTGGCAGTGGGAAATCCTCGCTGCTTTCAGCCATTCTTGGAGAGACCGAAAAAAGAAGCGGGTCTGTCTCAGTCAAGGTACTTGCAATAATCAACCATAATTCAAATTGTATATATTTTATGAAATCATTTTTTTAATGGCATGTTATGACTGTCTTTGGTTGAATAAAAAATTGCACTTAAAGGTAATACTTTACTTGAAGGGGTGTGCATAAGACTGGCATGACACCTTCATAACCATGACTTGACATATGTCTTGAGTATGCAGTAGGGTTTATGCGTGTTTATGACATCTGTCATTAAGTGTTTTTCGCTCAATACTGACATTTTGAATGCAAATATGACATTGTTTAAGATGTCTTTGTTATGACATCTTGACATAAACCAATAACATCATAACCTGTCAGTGTTATGACAACTTGACATTAAATTAAGTTAAACTGTCATGTGGTTGATTTTGTTGATTTTCATGTGGCCATTATAACATTTTAATGACAATGTCAAAACCAACCACCTGACAGTTTAATGTAATGTTAACCAATATAGCTAAGTGGTTTCTTAAAGTGATACTCCAGTTTTTTTGGAAATAGGCTCATTTTACCACTCCCCCAGAGTTAAACAGTTGAGTTTTAAAATCCATTCAGCCGATTTTCTGATATTTCGAAGAATATCAGCAACCAGACAGTTTCTGGTCTCATTGACTTCCATAGTAGGAAAAAAAATGTACTATGGAAGTCAATAAGACCAGAAACTGTCTGGTTACTGATATTCTTCTAAATATCAAAAAATCGTCTGAATACATTTGAAAACGGTAAAACCCAACTGTTTAACTCTGGGGGAGTGGTAAAATGTATCCCTTTAAGTTTGATAATTATTCTGCTGTGTCACGTTTATGACAGGTTGTGTTGTCTTAGTAATGTCAAGTGTCATGACAAAGTCACTGACAGGTTATGATGTATTGGTTTATGTCAAGGTGTCATAACAAACACATCTAATTGAGCAAATGACACTTAATGACAGTTGTCATAAACATGCATAAAACTTCCTTCATATTCATAACATGTGTCATGTCATGATGAATGTTAGTCTAATGCACACCCCTTCAAGTAAAGTGTTACCCAATTATAAAATACATATGAAAATCTAATTTAAGCCAGTTTAAATCTAAAATAAACACACATTTTAGGTTTTAAAAAATAAACAATATTAGGTAAAGAATAATTCTTTAATATTCTGTGTTAGTTCAAGGCCATTAATCAAACTGCAAAATATTTCATCCTTACAGCTGATTGTCTGTTTCAGCATTTCTTCGCTTCTGTTCATATAGGGCTCCATTGCCTACGTTCCCCAGCAAGCTTGGATCCAGAATGCCAGTCTGCAGGACAACATTCTGTTTGGACGGGAAAAAAAGAAAAGCTGGTACCAGAGAGTGCTGGAAGCCTGCGCCCTGCTGCCAGATCTGGATAATCTGCCTGCAGGAGACGCCACTGAGATCGGAGAGAAGGTGAGACATCGTTTCAATAAGCATCCACGAGACCAATCACCAGGCGCGTCGTTAGACATGGGCATTCGGGGCTTTAGCCCCGGATGTTTTTTTTTATAGCCCCGGATCTCAAAAAAAAAAAAAAAAAAAAAAAATATTGATCATTATTATTAAATTTTAATAATTTTGTATTCATTTTAAAAAATTACCCGGTATTTTAATCTATCCTTCGGAATAATGTATTAAAGACGATTAAAATGTTCAAGCAGATCAAATTTACTATGGTTACTATGGTTACACAGCACGCTTGATTTTAGATTGCGCACCAGGAGAGAGAGAGAGAGTGCCTGAAAGAGCAATCGGTTAACTTACAGCTTTAGGGCTTGACTGTCATTGTTGTTTGTGGCTTCATTAGACACTTTTTAAAAAGGAAAATAAGGAGTCATGAACGATACGAGGCCGATGAGAGGCAAGAAGAGTTATCTAATTTACTGGCGCCGTTCCCTCATCAAAGCTCAGGTCGGTGAAGGCTCTTCAGCAAAGCCTGGTCGTCTAATTTAACGTTACTTAAAGGGACTCTGTGTAGATTTTTAGGTATTTTATTATCTGAAATCAATATTTTTATTCATAAATATGTCCTCAATGGTGTACAAATACCTCTGCAAATTATCTGACTTATCCTCGTAAATGAAGAATTTATTATCTTTATGTACATGGGACGGGTAGGTTCACGGAGGATTCCATGTCCGTTCCGCCATCTTGAAAAACTATAATAGCAGAGAGGGTCAAAAAGTACCACCAGCCAAACGCGTTTCCACAACGCGTTTTCGTTCAGACTCAAAGCCATCGTCACGTCACATTGAGAGGCGCATTCCCTGCAAGTTTAAACGGCTGCATTGCACTCCTATGATTGCTGATTGCTCTTTTGCTGTATTATTTGTAATGGCGGACCATATGCCGAGTCACAGGAGAATGCATCCTCCTCGCAAAAAAAGGCCAGACTTGAACGAAAAAGGAAACGTGACCGAAGATTGCAAAAAACAAGGCCATTAATTTTTCCGTCATAAAATTAATCGGATCGGGTTCGATTTTCTGCGTTTTTCGCATCCAGAGCCAGCATTTTGAGAGGTCTTTTGACAATTCAGGGAGCTCGTCCTCAAATCATTGAACATATGCGCCGTGCTTTCAGTTTCGGTTTTCAATTCGATCAAGTGTTTATGTTCTCTTCTCTATATTGGATTATGAAATTAATAAACCTCCCCTTTCAATCAGATTGAAATTTAGGATCGAATAAAGTGTGATTGAGCAGCCTATTCGATAACTAATGTATTATTTGGGCACAATATATACACAATATATACACAATAACAGCCTAGCTGTTCTGTCTGCCCAGCTCTTCCACCGGGCCGCGCGCGGGTGTGTGTGTGTTTGTGTGTGTGTCCATACCTGGTCCATACCAGACACACTGCCAGTCTCCGTTCAGAATCGATTGGTTCACGGAAATTGGTGGTCTTGTTTTTAATGTGGCTCCAGAATCGCTAGCAAAGCATCAAACTGTCCCACTGACATTCTGAGGTAAATTTTGAATCGCTCAGGATAAATTCGCAACTCCTTGAACTCTCCTTCCTCTCGGCGCAATTTCAGGATTGGATGGACGTAATATTTTCTCTTTCTTCTCTTTCAATATTGAGAGAGGCAAAAATCATCCTCACTGCTTGACGAATCATTGGTATTTGCGTTTTTCCCCCAAAGGTTTAATAAATACGCAACGGACTCGGTTTTGTGCAAGGTTTCTATGCGTGACGAATTTTTAGGCTGACGTACACGAAAATACGCATACGAAAATTTCGTACTCAGTGTGCAATGGCCTTAAGTCTCATGGCCATCTATCAGAATCCAGAGTTTTGAGAAAATTGGGGATACTTAATTTTTCGGCCCCCAAAAAAAAACGTAAGGGGTAACACTGTCGTTTTTTTTTTCTGGTCGAAATTTTGAGTTTCGATATCTCAGCACTGGAAGGGTCTAGAGCCTCCATTTTTGCACTCAGGTCTAAGTCTTGGCCCTCTATCAGAATCCAGAGTTTTGAGAAGATTGGGGATACTTAATTTTTCGCCAAAAAAAAAAAAACGTAAGGGGTAACACTGTCGTTTTTTTTTTCTGGTCGAAATTTTGAGTTTCGATATCTCAGCTCTGGAAGGGTCTAGAGCCTCCATTGTTGCACTCAGGTCTAAGTCTCATGGCCCTCTATCAGAATCCAGAGTTTTGAGAAGATTGGGGATACTTAATTTTTCGCCCCCAAAAAAAAAAAAACGTAAGGGGTAACACTGTCGTTTTTTTTCGGGTCGAAATTTTGAATTTCGATATATCTCAGCTATGGAAGGGTCTAGAGCCTCCATTGTTGCACTCAGGTCTAAGTCTCATGGCCCTCTATCAGAATCCAGAGTTTTGAGAAGATTGGGGATACTTAATTTTTCGCCCAAAAAAAAAAAAACGTAAGGGGTAACACTGTCGTTTTTTTTTCGGGTCGAAATTTTGAGTTTCGATATCTCAGCACTGGAAGGGTCTAGAGCCTCCATTGTTGCACTCAGGTCTAAGTCTCATGGCCCTCTATCAGAATCCAGAGTTTTGAGAAGATTGGGATACTTAATTTTTCGCCCAAAAAAAAAAAAATAAGGGGTAACACTGTCGTTTTTTTTTCTGGTCGAATTTTTGAGTTTCGATATCTCAGCTCTGGAAGGGTCTAGAGCCTCCATTGTTGCACTCAGGTCTAAGTCTCATGGCCCTCTATCAGAATCCAGAGTTTTGAGAAGATTGGGATACTTAATTTTTCGCCCCAAAAAAAAAAAAAACGTAAGGGGTAACACTGTCGTTTTTTTTTCTGGTCGAATTTTTGAGTTTCGATATCTCAGCTCTGGAAGGGTCTAGAGCCTCCATTGTTGCACTCAGGTCTAAGTCTCATGGCCCTCTATCAGAATCCAGAGTTTTGAGAAGATTTGGGGATACTTAATTTTTCGCCCAAAAAAAAAAAACGTAAGGGGTAACACTGTCGTTTTTTTTTTCTGGTCGAAATTTTGAGTTTCGATATCTCAGCACTGGAAGGGTCTAGAGCCTCCATTGTTGCACTCAGGTCTAAGTCTCATGGCCCTCTATCAGAATCCAGAGTTTTGAGAAGATTGGGGATACTTAATTTTTCGCCCCCAAAAAAACGTAAGGGGTAACACTGTCGTTTTTTTTTCGGGTCGAAATTTTGAATTTCGATATCTCAGCTCTGGAAGGGTCTAGAGCCTCCATTGTTGCACTCAGGTCTAAGTCTCATGGCCCTCTATCAGAATCCAGAGTTTTGAGAAGATTGGGATACTTAATTTTTCGCCCCCAAAAAAAAACGTAAGGGTAACACTGTCGTTTTTTTTTCGGGTCGAAATTTTGAGTTTCGATATCTCAGCACTGGAAGGGTCTAGAGCCTCCATTGTTGCACTCAGGTCTAAGTCTCATGGCCCTCTATCAGAATCCAGAGTTTTGAGAAGAT